GTGTGTGTGTGTGTGTGTGTGTGTGTGTGTATGTGTATATACACACACACACATACACACACACGTTTTAAGCTACATTCAAAGTGAATACATTAATCTTAAATACCTGGATAGATGGCTTGTTTAAGTGACCCAGATTTGAAGTTGTCTGTCTTGGTTCATGTCCTAAGACCATCATATTAGCATTGATTAATCTGAAGGCATCGATAACAACCTGTAAAAACAAGACAGCAAAGTCAATTCTCTGAAGAAAATGCAAGTGATTGCACCAAGGAACAGCAGAGACATCACAATCAAGTTGCATCTGTTTTTGGCCTTTTTCCAGAAAATTATTTAATTATAATATTAATAAAAAAGAACCGCCTGCTGGCTCTGCCATCAGCACACCAACTCAGTTTAGTATTGCAAGAGGACACCAATTACTACATTTTTCAAGGTGATGAGAGAAAATAAATTAAGTTTCATGCTCTCTTACCAGCTTTTGATAGTTATGTTTACATACATATACACAATGTAACTTTAAAAACATCTTCTCTACTCAAATTGAATGATAGGGAGACTAACTCTGCAACTGAGCACAAGCTAAGGGACTATGTTTAAAGCCCAGTCGTGTCACATCAATTATACTGCTGGAATACTTGAAATGACAACAAAATTATAGTCAGCAAGGAACTTGTCCCATGTATTCCCTTCTAGTCAGATGCTTTTTATTCCCTGCAAGTAGGAAAGAGGCTATAAACTGTCGGATGGATTATGACGACCTTGTCAGTGTCATGGCCAAGAGTAAAACAGAGCAAAAAGCAAGGCAAACAAAAATAAGGTCACATATGATAGTAATACAGCTGATAACTTTCAGAACTTTATGATTTATTTTTGCTTAATTCTGTAAAATGCCATAACTGATTCCGATTCTGTCTAAGGTAGATTAAATACAGATTAAAGACTAGAACAGAGGTTTTCAAACTGGGTGTTCTGTGGAACCCCAAATCTTGATGTGGTTCTGTGAGAGACTAAGGGCCGGAAAATAAGAGTTCACTCAAACGAGCCAATTTTCTGTCACTAAAACTTTGCCTCTTGATCAAAGGTTCCAAGAATCTTTTTTTTTTTTTTTAAAGCTAACAGTTCCATAGCCTAAAAAGATCTGAAAACCTCTGGACTAAAGTACTTCTCTCTCTCTCTCTCTCTCTCCCTCTCCCTCTTAAGAGTTGGTTCTGATGAGCTGTAAATTTAACAGTCTGCAATTTACTTTTCATAGGTGGCTTTTGGAAAGCTATTTTCTCAGCTGTACATCAGTCATATAGAATAATGATATATGGTATAAGAAATTAAATGAATGTGGCTACAAATTTCTACTGGAGGAACGTAACAGTCATGTTCAGTAAATATGCATGCATTTGCATATGAGGAACTGTCCACAGTATAGCAATCTTTTCCCTATGTATACATGCTTTTCGTACAGAAGCAGCATTTGAATCCAAATTGGGCTAGCAGTAAGATGAGAGGACAGCAGCATCATGACATGAAGGAAAGCAGAAGGAAGACACTGGAAGCTCTGGACCATCCAATGAGATCTTGTAAGATTAAAGTAAATGAAGGTTAAAGAAAACACACAAATTTGAGACCATCAACAAAAGATAACTATTTAGCCAAACTAAAACTGTTTGGCTTTTCTTTCAGTTTATTTCTTGGGCAGCAGATAAGAACTTAAATTGTCTTTTGCACCTCTTTTGCAGCAGGAGAAGTAACATGCATATGCATAAATGTTACTGAAAAATAATGCGAGATAATTTATAGTCATTATGCTCTGTCATAAGGGCAAGATGACGACAACCAATGTATGAATGCTCCTAAAAGGCATGAAATATGCACCATCTATACATTCCTACTGCTCAATAAACAAAAGAGTTGAAAGATAATCCTGCACTCAGAGTTTGCTTTAAGCACTTTTAAATGAATGAAACAAACTGAAGTCTCAGTTTGCTGATAGTGATCTTGCCTTTAAATTAGAGTTCAGCTGGTTGGCCCTGTCTTTGTATTTTAGTTCACACAACTTTCAATCTGCACAATTTAACATGGTAACCAGTGATGAAAACAATAGGCAGAAAACAGCTGGGTTGCACACTGCAGTAAGCCACGCGGTAGCTAATTTGTTTTGGGTTAGCATGTTATGTGAATCTGATGATTATTTGCAACCCAGACACATATTACTTATTCAACAAGCAATGGTTAAAACAAAATGTGGCTTAGCTTATATGAGTAGTGGTATGAACTGATGAGGAAAGGGAGAAAGCTCAATGGCAAAGCATTTATTTTACATGCTAAAGCTCCAAGATGAAGCCCTGGCATTTCCATTACAGGACTAGGAATGCACTTATATAAAACTCTGAAGACATAAAAAGCTTTTTATGTTCTCACACTGATTTGATCAACATGGCTGTCACCAATATACGAAATTTCAGCAACTGACCCCCCCCCGGGTTGGAACAAATTAATTAAAAACCTATCTTTTTTCTAATTTGTGCTAGAATTAAAAAAAAAAACCTTGGGAATAGGTATATAAATATTCTAATACACTCATCCTACCCTTCCTGCCCACAAACCTTACAGCACTATCCCTTATTCCTTACTCATAGGTTTCTGTTTTCTCTGTTTTCAAGCAACTTCAGCCTAGGACACCTTCATTAACATTATACAGTAGCATTAACTTGTGCAGAGAGAACCTCTCTTTTGGGGGAGTGAACATAATTTGTGTCTTCTTTTACAGATCATATAATCATAATTTTAAGGGACCCCCGCCCCCCAAGAGGTATGCTTAGACTTCTTGGCTCTTGATTTTGAAATGTGTGGAGGGACAAAACTTGATTCTCCCTGGCAGCAGCTCCTAAGGGTAGAAACGGATGTATTTATGCAGTAACCTGATGTTCTGCATATTACTGCACTTATTAACAGGCTGTCTCATGACCACTTTTGGATACTAGTTGGATTCCATGTACCACCTCAAGAAATGTGTTATGTATACAATTATCCTCACAAACAATACTATTGATCAAATAATGAGGGGATTAGATTCACAGTACAAAAATACTGGTCTTGTGTTCCTAGAAAGGTTATCTATGGGTAAAGTTATTTTACACCTGTATTTCTCTTCTTGCTACATCTGGGAATTTCCTTGAAGCTACAGCAATTTAGGAAAGTTTAATATTTTATAGGCCTATTCCAGTTTTTACATTCCAGTTTTGAATCTAATGTTTTTATATAACATTGAGTCTTATAAGTTTCCCAAACTCTTGAAGCAGCATTTCAGCCATATGTTCTAATTTTTGAACACCTGCAAATGCCCAACCACAAAGGAGTATAAATTAAAAGTAAGCAAAAACAGAACTAAATATCCTACACTGTAGTCCTCTAGAGATTTACTCGATAGGAAATGACACAAATAAAGAATTTACTCAGAGGGGAAGATACAATTACTTGGCACTATATCAGAATCACAAGGTGCTTTGTATTTTAGAGTACTAACACTTACACTCCTAGAATGGATTAGAACTGACTGCTCCACTAGAAAACGTGGAACCTATCCAAGACAGCAATGGTATTTTATGAGAATTGTTTCTACTCAGATTTGAGCTCCATATGCACTTTTCATGATAGCTATTTGCAGTGGATGCTAAATAAATGGCCATGCATCAGCTTTTACAAGTGTGCTATGATTACAGTGGCCCATTTTTACAAGGTCATTTTTAATAATCTTTCTGAGAAAATGCCTTCAGCCATCTAGTGTTCTGAAGGGGAACTTCATGGAGAACACAGTTTTGGAACAATCTTGACACATTCAAGTTTTAAAAATATTTATTGTGCAGAATATGGGCTAACAATTCTATGACTTAAATACCAATGTTAGTGCATCTGTTTATTTAACTGTATTTTTGATCAGTACTTGTATATGTTTGGGTAGAAGATGTTGTGCAAGATGCTGTGCTCATGGGCTTGCACTACAAAATGTTACTGTGCTCAATTCTTAACTGTAGTCATAAAATAATATTAATTTCTTATAAACTACTGGACAAAAGTATGACTTGAGTGACATTTTGCTTCTGCTTAACAGCATCATTGCAACCAATAAGAAGGAGCGTTTTAACTACACCAAGATTAAAGGAATTCACTGCAATCACTATAGCAACTGTCTTAGGGAAAACTAACATGCTGAACAACCTGCAACCTAAAATTAGATCTGGGACGCAATAAAAAGCATAAATGCAGCAACACACCCTACATTTTGATTTCTAAGCTATCTTATAATTGCTTTTTTTGCACAGTAAGAACAAATAAGTTCCTTCTTTAGAGAATCATGAGAAAATAAATAGACTCATTAATGTCCAGTGCGTTAATAAGCAATGGATGGAGGTGTTAATTATGCTGCAATAAGATTCAAGGATAAAGCCCTGGTGAGCTCTTGGATATATGTTGTAGCTTAAGCCTTCTCTAGGTGTGTGTACTTTGAAGTTCTGGGCAAAGCATGATAGCAATATAGTAACCTTATAGTCTGCAAAGGAAATTTTACAGGCAGTTGGATCACAGGGTCAATTGAGGGAATATAAATTAATACTGCTTTCAATTTTGTTAGCATTTGAGTGTTTTAAAATCTCTTAGCTTCCTTTGACCACAATGATTTGCAAGTGCATTAAAATGCAGCCTGAAGGCTTAATGCAAAATTACTTCTCCCAAAGATGAGAAATAAAGAGCTTCCTCTAACACCATGGTGGGGAAAAAGGGTATAGATTAAGGTGGCTTTTTATTATTACATGCTATCCGCTCCTGCAATTCTTCTCACCAACTGGACGATTTAATTCTGCCTGGTGCAAGTGCCTTGAGACTTTGCAGAGGTCACTTCAACAGTAGACAGCTTATAACAAAACCATTAGCGGTTTGGCTAGCTTAAGGAAACCTCTTACTTTCCTTTTTTTGTTTATTATCACTGCATGAATCTGCAGCATATGATAGTTTATAATTTCTCAGGCTTGTTAAATTCATGTTAAAGGTCTGTTTTCTTGTTGAATAAATTTTGTTCATATAATGCTGCCTATTTCATACAGTGAGTCTTTAATAGCACCTTTGGTCTATGCGCAACTCACAGATCAAAACAGAGGACTAAAATAGGGGTTGATGATGCTATTTACATGTGTGATTCCTGCTGTCTTCTTGTTAGTAGCTTTAATATAATAGAAGACCTTGTCTGTTTTGTAATTAACACATCTTTACTGGAGAGATATTTGGAAGTGATTGCTGTGAATATACTGGTTAGTA